GGTTCTCCGACACACCCCCCTCCTTGATCACCACTGATCAAGCATAAGTCTTGTCTTCCACTGTGCATCCCTGGCTGCAGCACGTTTAGGGTATACCCCCCGATTTCTCACATTCTCCAAATCAATATTCTCTTCAGCCACATTTCCTTCAGTACCTTCCTCTCTCACTTCTTTGTCCACATCCTTGTTCTCAGCTTTACCCTCTTTTTTGTCAGTATCCTTGCTACATGAGATTTCCAAAGGAAAAACTTTTTGTAAAGGTCTTGCACAAAGGTGTGACTTACCCTTACCACTCATACGAATGTTTACCCCTCTAATGTTTCCATCTCTGCCTTTAATAAAACTCTGAATGATTCCCATTTTCCATTGTCCACGCTTTGTCTGCTCATCCTGCACTAGAACAAAATCACCCTCTGAAATAGAGTTTGAATAAGTCTTGCTCAGCTTATGCTGTTCTCTTAAGTCAGCAAGATACTCTGATTTCCATCGATTCCAAAAATGGGCAAGCTTTTTCTGCAGAAATAAAAACCGTTTAATTAGTTTAGAATTATTAATTTCAGAGTTAGGAATGTCTAAAGACATTTGCAAGGCAAAAGGTGACAACCTATGTCCATACAATAAATGTGATGGGGTTAACACTTCCTCAGTTTCATATTGGTAAGTGAGTGGCCTGGAATTGAGAGTACATTCAATCTCAACAATAACTGTATGCAGCTCTTCAGAAGTTAGTCTTGCATTTCCTAAGACCTTTCTTAAACACCTTTTTACACTTTGTACCATCCGCTCGAACATACCCCCTGCCCAGGGGCACCTTGGGAGATTAAATCTCCATGAGATTCTTCTTGATCTCATAAAGTTAGTTACACTGTCATTCATAAATAATTTTCTCAACAATGAGGCGGTAGCTTTAAAGTTCTTTGCATTGTCTGATACAACTAAAGTTGGTGTACCTCGCCTTGAAGTAAAATGCCTGAAAGTTAATGCATCTAGACTATGTACCAAATCCAAGTGAATGGCGCGTGTTACACAACATGTATACAAGACAATGTATACCTTCATGGTCTTGTTATTTGAAGTCTTGCAAAACAAAGGGCCAGCAAAATCAACCCCAATTCTGCTAAAGGGTGGGGCCTCTGTAACCCTAAAGCTAGGCAATGGAGCAATTTGAGGTGCATTGAATGGCCTACCTTCCAACCTTTTACAGATAAAGCAATTTCTGATTACCCTTTTTACATACTGTCTACCTTTAGGGATCCAAAACCTTGTACGTAGCTCTGCAAGTGTAGACTTCTCTTTACAATGATGGACCCTTTCATGACAATCGGAAATGACAAAATCAGTAAATTTGTGCCCTTTGGGTAACAAAATAGGTTTCTTAGCTGTTTCAACTAAATCAGAAAATTCCATTCTCCCCTGGCATACCAAAAACTCCCCATTACTTACTACACCCAATTGTTCTTTATACTTGAGATACTCAGACTGTCCCATCAAATAAACTTGAGCATCCTTAATCCATTCTTTCTCAGCATTCTGAATATCTTCTGCATCCAAATTCTCTGTGATAACTACTGCCCCCTCCTTCTTTCTCTTTAAATTTGAAATAAATCTCTTTACAAAGGCAGTTACTCTAAGTAGTTTGCCCAAAGAACTATGTCTGTTAATATCAATAACTGAGCCAACTGTGTTAATAGATTCTACTGTGGATGTTAAAACAACCTGCCCTTTCATTTCCTCCTTTACTTCAATAGATTCTTCTACAGGAAGAGCCTGAGGCCAACTTTCTTTTCCTCCCTTTAGCCAATTAGGACCTCCCCACCATAAATTATTTCCAACAAGCTGACTCGGAGAGGCTCCCCTTGACCCTATGTCCGCTGGGTTTTCAAGCCCTACAACATGACCCCATTCTTCCTTCCTAGATTGCGTAAGGATTTCGTTTACCCTGTGTTGCACAAAGGGCTTCCAATCACACTTATTTTGAATCCAATACAACACAGCGATACTGTCTGTCCAGTACTTAACCTCATCAATTTTGGTATCTGAACTAAGTGCATTTTTAACAGTGTCAATTAGGTTAACCAGAATTCTAGCAGCCATCAGTTCTAACCTGGGAATTGTTAAACTTTTAAGGGGTGCTATCCTTGTCTTAGAACTAATGAGTTTAGAATAGATGCCTTCCGTTGTCTCACACACAAGATATACAGTAGCACAATATGCCTTTTTACTTGCATCACCAAACCCGTGCAAACTTGTCTTAAGGATTTGACCTTCTAAACCATCTAGCATACACCGTGGGGTTGTAATGACCTGTATGTCTTTGAGACCTTTCAACCACTTCTCCCATCTTAAAAGCTTGTCCTTAGGTAAAGGGTCATCCCATCCTAACTTTTCAAGACATAAATCCTGGAAAAGGACTTTGGCTGTCACTGTGACTGGGCTGATCAAACCTAAGGGATCAAATAAAGCAGCTATTCTACTCAATATATACCTCTTGGTAACCTGTCCTTCACCTTCTGCAACCTTGTCAAGATTAAATTCAAGTAAGTCTTGATCCTTATCCCATGCTAAACCTAAAACTTTAGTTTTAGAACTGTCTTCATTTCTGGCCAACTTAGTTCCTGTCTTACTTTCTATCTCATCTTCATTAATCTTATAAGCAAGTGACCTATCATTCGTTTTCCACTTTCTGAGCTTGAAACCACCTTCGCTCATTCTTTCCTTGGCTTTCATAAAGAGCGAAAAGGCTTCATTTACGTCAGTGTGTGTAGTTACAAGGTCATCTACAAAGAATCCCTTAGACATACATTCGCCAAATTTAGGGTCTATTTCCCTGTACCTATTTATGTGAAATTGGAGTACAGCATTTAACAAAAATGGTGACGAATTCACTCCAAAAACAACCCTGTTAAACCTGTAGGTGACAATTTCTGGATTCTCTGCATTAATATCCTTTATCCATAGAAAGCGTAGGACATCACAATCAGTGAGATCTACCTCTATGTTCAAAAATGCCTTCTCAATATCCCCTACTAAAACAATGGGCTTTTCACGGAATCTAATAAGCATGTCAAACATCAAAGGGGTAAGTGGGGGTCCCACATGAAGGCAATCATTCAACGAAACACCTGTTTTCCGATCAGAACATGAAGCATCATACACAATTCTAACTTTAGTAGTTTCTGCATCACTACGTATGACAGCACGATGTGGTAAATATGACACCTTAGAGCTTAAATTAGAGCCAGAAACCTGCTCAATTATACCTGCTTTCTCCTGTTCCTTTATGATGTTATGATACTCCTCTAAAACCTGTGGGGATTTTTCCAACTTCTTAACCTGACTCTTTAACCTAACAAATGCATTATTATAATTATCAGGCACAGGACCATGCCCTACTTTCCAAGGTAATCCAACAGAATACCGTGTACCTGTGAAAGATATATTGTCAATGACAGATTTATGCACTTCATCTTCAACACGAATGCCTAAGGTATCTAAATCCCAAAGTTTATGCATATTTTTATCAACATCAGAAGCATTCTTGTCAGGCAATGGAAAGGGATCAATAACATGGCAAACAGAATTGACAAAAGAAGAATGATCTGAATTCTTACCATCTAACGGTCCAGAAATTACCCAACCAAGAGCTGTTTTTATGGCCACTGGCTGATTTTGCCCCCCTCTTATCACATGGCCATCTTGAAAACTCCACAAGTAGTTGGCACCGATCAAGACATCAATCTCAAGGTAGTCTTCATCTGAAAAATCTGAAAACTCAATATTCATCAAATGTGGATATGCATTATTAATAACATCGATATGGTAGTTAGCAACAGTGCTGATTTCATCAATCATAAAGGCTTCAATTAAAATGCTCTTACCACCACTCAATGAAACTAATGGGATACCATACACCTTTCTCATCGCAATTTCTGGCTCACTACTCCCAAATGTTTTGACTCCAAGCTTCTCCTCCCTCAGTGGCTTCAATTTCAGCCTAGCAACAGTCTTCTCAGTCACAAATGTTTTTTGGCTCCCAGAATCATACAGCACTCTCACTCTACTCCCCTCTTTTCCTTCTACTGCTGCTAGTGCTGTCTGCAAAGCCACTCTTTCCTTAGCTCCACTAGCACTTGTAGTGCCTAATCCTACCCAAGTAGATGCATTGGGATTAAGAGGTGGGGGCATGCTGCTGGGTTGGGCTTCCTTAACGGTGGGTTCCTTATCCTGGCAAAGCAAATAATGGTGTCTACCTTTACAATACCTACAACGAAACTTACTCTTACATTGAAAGGACCTGTGACCTTTATTAAGGCACAAAAAACACCTGGAAAATTTCATTAAAACACTTTTACGTTCTTCAGGGTGTACGTAACGCGTACAGTTCGCAGCTTCGTGCGATTCTAGACAGAACTGGCATTTATTACAATTGTCCTTTCCCATGAACAGCGCACTTGCTGTGCTGACTCTCTCCGTGTGATGTTGCGGCCTAGGCCGATCTCCGCGTTGTGGATTTGCTGAATATGAAATCCCTTTGAGCACTGGTACGTGGCTTTCTCTTATCTCCAGCTCCTTAGCAAACGCGTGTAACAAATCCCCTATACTCCACTCTAAATGATTGCTACCAAATCTAAACATGTTTAGCCGCACAGCCTCTGGAATCTTCTCCAACAAAACCGGAACAACAATGCTTGAATAGGAATCACGATCAACACCCAGAGCCTCGAGGCTGCGAAAATTGGTCTCGATATCATCGTGCAGCTGTCTCATTCTTGGGGTGTTCTTCTCGTTGAAAACAGGCGACAAGTTTAGCAACTCGTTTATATGGGCTCTCTTTATCACCGTTGGCTTTGCAAAGCGACTTTTCAAAATGTCTATGGCAGAATCGTAATCCGCGTCCGTTAATGACAAGCCTCCAATGACTTTCCGCACTGGCTCCTCAAGATACGACTTCAAATATTTGAATTTGTCAACCTTCGCTAATGCGGGCGAATCATGAATTGCACTTTTGAAGGAGTCCCAGAACTCCTGCCAATCTTGAGCCCTTCCAGAAAATTTCTGCAGGCTAATTTTAGGCAATTTCACCCGGACATTGTAGCTGTTTAGAGCTTGAGCTGCGTGAGCTTCGCCAAACTTCGATCCGCTAGACAGTACACTTTCTTGAGAAACGCTTCGTTCTATCGACGTAGATCCTTTTGAACTGGAGCGGTCATCTAATGCTTTCTCCAAGCAAACCAATCTGAATAATACTTTCTCCATAATCTCGCTGGCACTTTCAGCTTCTTCATCGCACGTTTCATCATTTTCTTCGGCATCGTACAAACTTTCTAAAATATTCTCGTCGAGCTCTTTCAACTTGCCTTGCTTCTCCTTCAAATCGATCTCAAATTGTTTAAACTTTCTCAAATCTCCACCGTCTACATCCTCCAGGGCTTCGTCAATCTTTGTGAATAGTTTCGTTACCAATCCACGAATTGTGCGTCGTCTTTTCCGCATCCGACTCAAATCTTCAGCCTGTGCCATTCTTACGCGATCGAGCTCGGTGGACCACTATGAGGTGAATCCCACCCCATGCATTCTTTGATTCTTTATCACGTAATGAGAGAAAAACTCAATAAACAGGCTGGGTAAACCGTAAGATTATCAATCGATAAAACCGTGCATTCTTTCCTACATCAACTCAACAACCAACTACGATCAACAACAAATCCAACTGATTAACAACTTTGGATTAAGTAAATTACACCTAAACAACCAATCAGGAATAAGAATAATGTTAATGGGATTAGTCATATGGCATTTAGTTCAACACGTTTACACATTACCTCAGCAACGATTGTGTTGGCTGCGAAAACTAGAGAAACAGAACTGTAATTAAAGACACATAAACAATACCTTATATATTTACAAAATTTCTAAAGAAAACATGTGGGAAAATGCTGCGCAGTGGAAGGTTCTCCGAC